CTATTATTGAACTCACTAAGCGTCACCGCTTACCCCTCTCAATGTTTAACAATTGCAGGAGATAAGTAACCAGTATAGTCTTATACTGTTGCAAGATTTAGAATAGTTAAGACTACTTCTTTGTATTTAGTATTCATGTATGTATATGAATAATAGATTCATGGGTAGTTATGTAATATATTAAACTTAAATAGTCGGTTTGAATCCAGTCCTTTGTAATCAAATTATCAATGTAAAATATTATTTATGAATATGCATGTAGCATGTTTTTGGAGCAACAATATTGTGAAGTATGAAAGTTTGGGTCTTTTAGAAATATGAAAGTTTAGAAAGGGGTTCTTTCAGAAATTCTCGGGGGTTTTTTTTCAAACTCACAAATTTCAGAACATTGGTCTGGAATTTAGGTCCGTTCCAGAAATGTTAGTCTGATTTTTAAAAAAAAAAACAATTTTTTTGGTTATTTTTCTTTAAATACACATTACATTACATTTAGATTATTAAAATTCAGTTAAAAATAAGACACAATGTATTGACAACTATCACTAAACATTAATTCTAGTTTAATAATTCGTTATATTTTCGACGAACAATGTATTTAGTTGAAATCTATATAATTAATATTTACTTTATTATAATTATATAAACTTTTGTTAAATATTTAAATATATATCATACTAAAAAAATTAGTTTGAAAGTTTAAAAGAAACTACCATGATTTAATACTCTATCCGTCCCAAAATTATAGTCCATCATTCCTTTTTGGTTTGTCCCAAAATAATAGTCCACTTCTAAAAATAAATAATATTTTTACCAAAATACCTCCTCATTATTACTTAACCAACTAAGCATTTAATGGAAACCTTAAATGCAAAGTAAGGACAAAACTGTCATTTTATTATATAAAGTTAATGGTAATTAATATTTCATTAATTTGTGTGTTTTTTGTCTGTGGACAATAATTTTGGGACGGAGGGAGTATGAAAAATGTAAAAATAAAATATAATCATATATTATTTTGATGTTATAATGGAAATGCTATTATAAAAAATTGATTTATTCTATGTAAAAATTGTAAAATTTTCAACGAAAAATGTTTGAGAATTTTTAGTCGATTAATATTAAAAATAATAGCATGATAGCCATTAGATGATATATCTTTTTATGGACTTTATAGTAAAAATCCTAAGTAAGAAAAGTTCTTTTATCATTTATCTTAATATTGAAGGGTAAATAAGATACTTAAATATAAGAAAAAAAATTAATGAAAAACTTGGACTTTTAACATGCTCTTTTTGGCCAAAACAAAAAAAGAAAAAAAAAAAGAAAAAAGATAATGACTTTTCCATTGGAATTTCTAAGGTATAAGTATTTTTGTAACAGTTTATTCTTAAAGCAATAACAAATAATATATATTTTATTTGATGGCATTCCAACAATTTGATATATTTTTCAAATTTTTATAAATAGTACTAATCATATAAGATGTAATAAACAAAAATAATTCACCCCAAATCCCCAAAATATATAACAAATCGCAATAAAGTGATGTTGAAACATTTTTTCCACATCAACCCTTTGCTGCCATTTCATCTATATAACCTTTAAAATGTTAAATCACTTTAAAGAACAACAAAGCTAAGATGAAAAAGAATATAATCACAATACATAGTAATGTACTTTTTGCATGAAATAGCAATGCACTTTTATTTTCTGCATTAAACAACAATGTATTTTCTACATGAAATAACAATTAAATGAGAGTTTTTTAATTTATAAAATGGCGGATTTGTTAGCTTTCGAATGACATTTAAAATGGCAGCTTTACAAGCTTTAAATTGATAGTTTCTAAGCTTTAAAATGACAGTTTTGTAAGCATTAAAATGACGGATTTTTAGCTTAAAAATGACAGATTTTTAACCTTTCAGAATGACATCTTTATGAGCTTCAAATTGACAGGTTTTAAAGCTTGAAAATGACAGTTTTGTAAGCTTTAAACTGGCAGATTTTTAGCTTAAAAACGACATATTCTTACCATCTAAAATGACATTTTTTAAGCTTTAATATGGTAGTTTTTTGTGGTTTATAATACCAAAATTTTAGTTTTGTAGATATTTTACCTTAAAACTACTGTCTTTAAGCCTGAAAAATGGAAAAGACTTGATTTTGGTGCTGGAGAGTCTATATTAGTTAATGTCTGCTGGCCAATCAAGACACACATCACCATTTTTGAAAAAAAATCACAATTGTATCATTTCCCCCTTCTTTGATTTCCCCACAACCTATAATTACATCAATCAAGATCTTCCAAGTAACTAACTATTAACATTCGTACATATGTGGCTTAGATTTTTTGGGGTTTTCGACAATTTTGCCCCTTGCACTTTATATTGATTGGGGAATTGGTGTTCTCTGTATAATGTATTTGCCTTTCCAGACTGTTTCTCCTTTTGGTTGGTTGTCTTTTGCTAAGGTCTCTTATGGTGGTTTTCTATTTTTTTTTCCTGTTTTGGACGTTTTTGCCCCTGGTGCTCCTGTTCCCTTGGAGCTGCTCTCTTACAACTTAGTGGTTTGGTCATTTGACATAATCCCTTTAGCATACTTTCCTTAGCCATCACAAGTTGTATAGAGCTAAAAAAAGGGAACCAAGATCAAAGCAAGATTTAAGAAAAGAAAAGGAAAAGATACTATGCAAGATTAGAGTGAAAAACCCAAACCATCAAACTTCAACTTTAGTTGATCATGCACAAGCCACACGCATGTAATTAGTAGTATCTAAAAAAAATCCTATAAACTGAAACTTGATGTACAAAGTTAAATTAACATAATTTCCCATATTGAAAAACAATTGTCATAATATCTCTTGATTTACAAACTTGTAAACCTGAGAAAGTATAGTACAAATGATACAGTTCAGTTTTGTTATATCATAAGACGTTTAGGACAAATGATGAAATTCCTACAAATATATCCACAAGAAGATGATATACCTGAGTTGTGAAATAACGAACAATCCAGGTAATGATTTTTGCTCAGTGACATCTCACATTCAATCTAAATAAAGAGTGAATGTGTCTAAAGTTGCTTAATCGAACTAATAAACATAAAAAAAAAAGATATCTAAAAAGGAATTCTTACCCGTTGCTGATGGTGGTTCTGGAGAAAGAAGCTTGTAACATACCTGATCAAAAATCACAAAATCAAAAAACAAAATACCTTTAATTTCTTAAATGTGGTATTTAAAAGGAGATAGACATACCATAACCATGACGAGGCTGAGAGTAGCATGTTACTAAAGGAGGTGGTGCAGTTTTTGTGGTGGTGAACATACGGTGGTCTAGAGAGTGATAGAGAAGAAGGGTAATGGTTTTAAAAAAAAGATAAAGAGGGAGGAAGAGAGATAGATGGTGCAGACCAATCATCAATTCAAAATCAAGTAATCATTCGAAAGCTGACGAAAATCTTGTGCAAAATCAGGTTGATAGCAGACCAACAATCAATTCAATAGCAGAACAAAATCAGTTCAATAAATTAAATTAAATGTTAAATCTTGTGCAAAATAGAAGTGTGTGTTTGTATGTGATTAAAAACCAGAAATAGGAGAGATACCTATTTCAAGTTTATATGTGATAGCAAACGGGAGAAGAAGAGAGGCTTGGAAGTGAACCATCCAATGGAGGTAGTACAACTTACAAAGGGTCGACATGACGGTAGGATTAAGTGGTGGCGGCAGTGGACTGTAGGGTTTATGGTGAACGGGGGAGCATAAGGGAGGCGAGACACGATATATAGGAAAAGGAGGCGAGATTGGATAGGAGAAGCTAGAACTCAAAATTCGATTATTATAACAAAATGGGCGAAATATTGGGGAATTATTGGAGGAACGTGATGAATGCCTCTTTGACCAATTCAATTGGCTGAATTTAGGGAATGTTTGTTTAATTTTAACTAAATAAGATTTCATTTTTCTGCAATGCATAAAATAGGTGTGGCTGATGTATTAAGGGTTATACCTTTTAAAATTTAGCATTTTAAAATTTAGCATTTGAGGCTAAATGCTTTTTTATATATATATATATATATATATATATATATATATATATATATATATATATATATATATAAAAAAGTTAATCTAAACAATTTTTTTAAATGAGTTATTAGGTTATACCATTTTTCCACCACATAAATAATCCAAACATTTGAAAAAATGATGGTTCAACTTATAGGTTCTTTCCACCGCATACACGAATACAATTATTATTATTATTATTTTTTAAATTGGCACTACATAAAATAATAAACAATTTTATAAAAACAAAACTTAAATAAACAATCTCAAACACCCTTACCATGTCTATAATTTCAAAAAATATTAATCTCTTTACAAGATATTAATTATATTATTTAATTTGACCTGTCACTAAAGTAATTTTACTAATAAAAATTTTTGTAAACTATTTACGAAATCATTTCTTATGTAAAAATTCAGTTTCGTAAATTATATAATTTCAAAAAAATACATCTAGCTATTAAATATATTATTATTATTATCTTATAATAAATATATAAAATATGATCATTTTATATGGAACATCTCAACTTTTTGATATTTTTGTGTTCATCTTTTTCTCAAACATTCTGAAATTGCAAAACGTTTGTATTATTTTGAAAAATAACATCACATATGCACTATGCAAGAAAAGGTCATTGTTTAATTTTACGTCTTCTTTCCGGTTGGCTGATTGTATCATTGTATGTTTCCTGCCGTGTATGTGGGTTTCCTTTGATTGACATGATACCAAAGAAAAATCAAAGGAAATGGTCAACAATTGTCATTACAAGGAAAGGAACCATAAAGACCAATCTGTATTTTCTGCCCACATGAGACTTTTTGCATTATTTGTAGACTCAAAAAGTCTTTCTGTTGACCTTAAAGCAACATCTTATTATTCATTACATCCTCATTTCATCATTGTTGTCCATCATTCCACTAATTTCATATGGCTCCAGCCCAATTGCGACTCGTCTTCCTAACTATTGTCCTACGTTTAGTAGCTGCACAACAGAATGATGGTTCTGTATCTGTTGGTGCATCACTCACAGCCACATCCAATCTTAAACCATGGCTTTCATCTTCCGGTGAATTTGCCTTTGGGTTCCAACAAGTTCAAGGGACCGATAATTTCTTGTTATCCATATGGTACGAGAAGATACTTGACAAGACCATCGTCTGGTATCCAGAAGATGGTCGGATGGTGCCTACAGGATCCAAAGTTGAGCTACTTGGTGAAAGTGGACTCGTACTCACGGATCCTCAGGGCAGAGAGGTATGGAGATCTGGATCCATTTCCGGTGTTGCATCAGGTTTTATGAATGATACAGGTAACTTCGTGGTTTTTGGTAGCAATTCTCGCATCTTATGGGGTAGTTTTGATTTTCCAGCAAACACCCTGTTGCCTACTCAGGTTATGAAGACAGGTGGAGGGATGAATTCAACAATCAGTGCAACAAACTTCTCTGGTGGACGATTCCAGTTACGTCTGCTTCAAGATGGGAATCTTGTTCTTAACACTCGAGATACACTTTCCGGAAATGCTTACGGTGCTTACTATATCAGTGGCACTTACGATCCCTCCAATTCAACAAATTCCGGTGAACAAGTGATCTTCGATGCAGCGGGATACATGTATATATTGAGAAGAAATGGCCAACGATTTGATCTTACTCCAAGAGACTCATTTCCTTCTGGAGATTATTATCACAGAGCTACTCTAGACTCTGATGGGGTTTTTCGTCAATATTACATCCCCAAGAATCCCACCTCCAATACAAATTGGGAAGTTATATGGTTCGTGCCAGATAACATATGTGTGGATATAAATGATCCTTCGAACACTGGAGCTTGTGGGTTTAACAACGTTTGCGGTTTTGATGGTAACCGGCCAAACTGTGAATGCCCACAGGGTTTCTCATTGCTTGATCCAAATAGACCCAGTGGTGATTGCAAGCCTGATTTCACTCCAACATGTGATGAAGTTGACTCCAATAATGGGGGAGACATGTTTGATTTCATCGAGCTCCATAATATTGATTGGCCATTTTCAGACTACATGCACATGAACCCGAGTAATGAACAGACCTGTAAAAGTTCCTGCTTGGAAGATTGTTTCTGTGCTGTTGCAATATATAGGGACACCCAATGTTGGAAGAAGAAGCTTCCACTCTCTAACGGGAGGAAGGTTGCTTCAGCTAATGTTAAGGCGTTCATTAAATACCGTATAGGTGATCAACCTCTTAAAAACCCTCTAGTACCCTAGTATCCTAAGTGTACTCATAGTACGCCCCGCGTACTAGCCGGCGGATCCAAAGCAAACATTAACCGGGGTCATGATAAAAATATTGAAAATAAGAAAAATAAGAAAAAAAAATCTTAAATTTGAGGTCTTGTTAAGGTTTTTTAAGCAAAAACAATGGTGTCCAAGGTTTTTAAGTGGAGTGTCACTATATAATTCTATAAAAAAAATATATTTTTCTATTAAAAATTAGGATGGGCCCACCATCAAGTGGGGCCATGCACCCCACTTGTTATATATTGCCTCCGCCACTGGTACCAGCTAGGGACCAAAAGATAAAGATTTTGCATTAAAGGGCTAAAAGTGAAACATACCAAATTAGGAATGTTATATATATATATATATATATATATATATATATATATATATATATATATATATATATATATATATATATTATGTTATGGATGATGTTATTTTGGATTTATTAGATAGTTTATGTATTGTGGTATTTTATGTTTTATATAATGTGGTATGTATTGTTTTATGTTATTTGATGTTTTATGTAATGTGGTATGTATTGATTTTTGTATTTCTATTAAATATGTATTTTATAATATATAAACAAATATCATATATAAATCGTTTAAAAAAAAGTATTAGCAGCGACACATTTAACGACGTCGTGCACCAATTGCGACGAAGCCTGCCTCCGAGGAGCCTTGTCGAAAAAACTTCGACCGTGGCCAAAATATCAATAGAGACGATGCTAATAGCGACGTCTGAGGCTTTTAGCGACGACACTTATTAGAGACGACATTAAGTGCAACGACAATTGAGTATTAGGTATGAGGTAATAGCGATGACTTTAGCCATCAATTGCGATGTTTTTTGTCGTCGCCAAAGGTAAGTTTTTTTTGTTATGAATGTTAAATGGTGAATAGTACCAAACCTCGATTGTGACCGAGGTGACACGCAATATACATGCAAGCATACAATACACCACAATATACATGCAAGCATACAAACATTGTCTTTCAGTCCACGACTGGTTCGCCCTATTGTCTTTAGCATAAAGCTAGTCTGCACCTAGCTTTTAGCATAGCGTTGGCCCGCATGAGTATCTTGGCCTACCGCACAAAAGATAACCACCATCAACTCGCTATGAAATATGTCGACAAATATAACAAATAGACACACAAACAATCCGACAACACATGCAACTGACTAAACTGTAACGACCTGAAAATTCATTCGTCAATGAGGTTAGTTTTCCGTTACATAGATAGTTCTGCTTAAATTTATTTATGTTATAATAAAGTTTTAAAATGAAATAAACAAAATAAAATAAGGATTTATGTGCCACTTAAGTGAATTATAAAGTTTTAATTAAACCATAAAGAGAAAAATACAATTAAGTTAGTGATGGAATTTATGTGATAGTTAATTTAAACTAAAGTGGTTAAGATGTTATAAAGGGAGCTACAATACAATGTAAGTCTTAAATCTACTTTAATAAATGAATATTCATTTTGTCACATGTCAATCTCTTATAAATTTTGACATTTGTCATTTTATGGTATTTTAAAAATAAATAATATTCACATGTCAATTTGTATGTTTTTTAATTTTTAAATTTAAAAAGCCAAATAATACATATAGTTATATAAGTAAAGTATTAAATATAATAAATATGTTTTTTCCTTTCTTATTTTAAAATTTAATTTTAAAAAATACTTAATGTTTACATTTTGATATTTAATTTTTTATTTAACTCATGTAATACATGAGTCTGACACCTAGTTAATTAAAATAAAACACATGAAATTATAGGAGTTCGGGGGGGGGGGGGGGGGAATGGAACTAAGAGTATAACACATATAAAAAGAAATGTTGTTGGAGTGATAATGGAGCAATCAGTATAACACAGAGACCAAAGTTGTAACTTTGTGTTATAAACGTCGATGGGACAGAAGTTTGGTTTATCTTCCGTTTCTCGCATATTTACGTAACGTATACGACTTTGTAATCATCGTATATAGGTATCATTAGGGTTAGGAAGGAATAGTATCTTTGTGTGACAGTGTGAGTGCGGCTGTAACCGGGAGAGAAATTAGAGAACGGCGAGAGATAGACTAGATGAAGATTTCGTGAATCGACACCAATGAAACCACAAATATTGGAAAAGATGTTAGCCGGATTCGCGCCTTGCTGGTTTTCTAGCACAAGGGTTGCACAATAGCAAGAGATCACACAAGTCGGTGGTTCAAACCCTGGCCTCTCCGTTAGCCACAACCGTTGTGTGAGCCATTAAGCGCCCGTCCAATTCGCCCCTTGGAGGCTGGGGTTAGGAGGGCCCAGTTAGAGTTGCCGGTATCAACCTTTTTTCAAGATGTAAAAATTCACTTTTGTAGATTATGTAATTTCGAAAAGATACTTTTATAAAATACTTTATTATCGTATACAATAGTAAATATATAAAATATGATCATTATATATATATATATATATATATATATATATATATATATATATAGAGAGAGAGAGAGAGAGAGAGAGAGAGTGGTAGGTTCAAATGTTTCTCACATCTATTGTGTGTTAGAATGCACCAATAGGAATTTAGTATTAATTATATGTATATTAAATGCTATCCATACTTATAACTCATTTTTATGGAAACTAATTAAATTCGTCATTAATGTCAACAATAATATTCTTTCAGAATTAATTCATATCTAGAAGAATGAGAGTGTATTCCAGCAAAATGAGAGTGTATTCTAGTAGAATACACTCTCGTTCTTCATATTCCATTCAACTTTATTGTATTTTAAGTGAGTGAGTCCTTAAACAAAATATGAACTCATATATAAAAACCTAGATGCGAATTCATTCTGAAAGAATGTTATTGCTGACATTAATGACGGATTTAATTAGTTTTCATAAAAAGAGAATTATATTTATGGATATCATTTAATATACATATAATTATGGAAATCATTTAATATTTATATTTATTTAATTAAATAATTATTTAATTTACTAAATTTCTATTGGTGCATTCTAGCACACAATAAATGTAAGAAACAAAATAACCTAGCTTATATATATATATATATATATATATATATATATATATATATATATATATATATAACATCTCGGTTTTTTTATGTTTTTGTGGTTATCCTTTTTCCCTTTTCCCTTTTTTTAAACATTATGAAATCAAAACGCCTTTCAAGTTTGCTGATTGTATGTATCCTGCCGTGTATTTTTTTTTTTTTTAGATTTTTTGTTGTTCCGTTGTTGACATGACACCAAAGAAAAATCAAAGGAAATGGTCAACAATTGTCATTACGAGGAAAGGATCCACAAGAGACTTGTTGCAGTCTTTCTATTGACCTTAAAACAACGATCTTATTATTCATTAAATCCTCATTTCTTCATTGTTGTCCATCATTTTTCTATTGACCTTTAAGCAATGATTTTATTATTTATTACATCCTAATTTCCTCAATGTTGCCTATCATTCCACTAATTACATATGGCTCTAATCCTACTGCGTCTCGTCTTGCTAACTATTTTCCCACGTTTCATAGCTGCACAGCAGAAAACGAGTTCTGTATCTGTTGGTGCATCACTCACCGCCACAACCGATGTCAAACCATGGCTTTCATCTTCTGGTGAATTTGCCTTTGGGTTCCATCAAGTTCAAGGGAGCGATAATTTCTTATTATCCATATGGTATGACAAGATACCTGACAAGTGACAAGACGATCATTTGGTATCCAAAAGAAGGTCGAATGGTGCCTAGAGGATCCAAAGTTGAGCTACTTCGTGAAAGTGGACTCGTACTCACTGATCCTCAGGGTACACAAGTATGGAGATCTGGGTCCATTTCCGCTGTTGCATCAGGTTTTATGAATGATACAGGTAACTTGGTAATTTTTGGTAGCAATTCTCGCAAGATATGGGATAGTTTTGATTATCCGGCAGACACACTGTTGCCTAGTCAGGTTATAGAGAGAGGTGGAGGGATGAATTCAATAATCAGTGCAACAAACTTCTCTGGTGGACGATTCCAGTTACGTCTGCTTCAAGATGGAAATCTTCTTCTTAATACTCAAAATATACTTTCAGGTAATCCTTTAGTTGATTACTATCGTAGTGGTACTAGTGATGACTCCAACTCAACAAATTCTGGCGAACGAGTGATCTTTGATGCAATGAGATACATGTATATTTTGAGAAGAAATGGCGAAAGGTTGTATGTTAAATGCCATTTTATGCATCTTATAGGGTAGTTTTTATCATCATTTTAGCATCATATTTTGTACATTTGCATGTCATTTAGATAAATAATGTTCAGCTCATGTCTTTCGTTAGAATTCTCATACTGCTCATGTTTTTATGTCACTTTCAGATAGTTCGAGTGGAGCAGTGCTTTGGGAGCAGTTGGATGCGTGTTTGGAGCTTAAAATGGAGCTTGGGACTTATGGAGTATGTTGAGGAATGTTTGGAAGATGCTTTGGTCAAGAAACATTCGATCGAATTGATCACACAAAGAAAGAATCTACAATCTACGGTTAAAAGGATGTTTCTGGCAGCTTTGACCCCCTGTCAGTATTTTGACCATATCTCGAGAACCGTAACTCCGATTGACGCGATTCAAAATGATCTGAAAAGTAGATGAAATTTCGGACGTCATAGGCACAACCTGTGATCGCAGGTTGTCTCCTTGCGATCGTAGGTGACCATTTTTGCGATCGCAGGTTTGGTTGCAGGTTGCCTTCGAGGTTCTTTTGTGCCCAAAATTCATCTGGGAGTGAAAACTCAATACCTGCGATCGCAGGTTGTGTACATGTGATCTTAGGTTGGCCAAAAAGTGTCAAAATAGCATCCTACTTCATTAAAAAGGCACCAGACGCGTTTTCTTCAAAACCTGCGATCACAGCTTTGATACATGCGATCGCAGGTGCGTCGTTTTTGCTGCTGGACGTATAAATATACCCTGATAACCTTCCAGTAACCTAAGTTGGCGATTCCAGAGGTACCAGACGACGAAAATACGATTTTGGAGGTGTTTCTTCTCCGATTTCATCAATTTCTGGAGATCTGAAGACTGTGGATCATCTCCTACGTTTAGTTTAGTAAGATTTAGTAGTTTAATGTTTCTTTTTATTGTTTTAGATCAGATTTTAGCCATGTCTGGCTAAACCCTAGTTTTCAGTTCTGCAAAGACAAGTACTTTTCATGTGATTGATCATTAGATCTGGTTTTTGATTTGTGTTTCTATCTAGATTCTTCAGTTTTGAGCTTAATGAATGTTTGATTTGAATTCTTGTTAGTCTGATCACCTAGCTAGGGTTTTATCATTCCAGTTAATCAGTTAATAGAATCTGTAATTGTTCTAATTAATTGGTAATAAGTAACAAGTAATAAATCGGTTCCGTGTTTGGGATTTGACTTTATTATAAACTGTAAAAATCATACCTTTACGCTTCCGAGCTTGTGAGAAGTATTGGGTATTGCTGGGAATTTTACAAAGAACTTAATGCAACTTTTCTGATCTTAATTAAGAGCTTGTTTGATTAGACAGTAAAAAGTTAGGGTTAATTGAAGAGCTTGTTTTGGTTAACTAAATAAGGTAAAAGATAAATTACTAGAGCTTGTTAGTTTTTCTCAGTACCAGCTTAGATAGAACGCATTTCAAATAACCAGGTCAATGTTGATTGCATGACTAGGAAAGTCACAGCAGAGCCGAAACCATTTTTATTATTGATTTTCGTTTACTTTATTATCACTGCATTTCTAGTTATTAGTTTTAATCAAAAACCCCCCTTTTATATTCTGTTTCTTGACTAGATGTGTCTGATGCGAAAAGACATTGACTTTTAGGCTGTGTCCCTGAGGATTCGACCCTGCTTCCCTGTGCTATATTTTTAGTGCAACCAGCAGTAATAAATTTATTTGTTTAATACGTGCGCGACAGCGTGTTAACATTGTATCTTACTCGAAGAGGCTCAGTTCCTTCTGGAGATTATTATCACAGGGCTACTCTCGATTCTGATGGGGTCCTTAGACAATAACTACCCTCAGAATTCTACTGGCAATGCAAGCTGGGAAGTTGTATTGTATATACCAGATAACATATGTGAGGACATCCGTGGGCTTATAGATAGTGGAGCTTGTGGGTTTAACAATGTTTGCAACCTCCAAGATGGGCGGCCAAACTATAAATGTCCACAGGGGTTCTCAGTTGTTAATCCAGATGATCCAAATGGTGATTGCAAGCCAGATTTTACTCCAAGCTGTTATCATGAAGGTAAGTCTGATAATGGAGGAGACGTACTTGGTTTCATCGAGCTGAATAATACTGATTGGGTATTTTCAGACTATGGAAACTTGGATCCAAGTAGTGAACAGACCTGCAAAAGTATCTGCTTGGAAGATTGTTTTTGTGCTGTTGCAATATACAGGGACGCCAAATGCTGGAAGAAGAGACTTCCACTCTCTAATGAGATTATGGGTGCTACAGATAACGTGAAGGCGTTCGTGAAATACCGGATAGCTGATGGTCCTTTTCAAAACCCTCATCGGCTTCCCAGAGAAAGAAAAGATAAAAGAAGTTTGATACTTGTGGTATCGGTCCTTTTAGGTACGTCTGTGTTTGTAATCTTTGTATTGATTGGTGTGATTTGTGTGGGTTTTTTTTGTAATCTACAAAAAGAAGCCCAGAAACACATATCCAATTAGTAAAGCAGTTGAAACCAATCTGCCTCATTTTACATATCAAGAACTAGTTGAAGCTACCTATGGGTTCAAGGATGAATTGGGAAAGGGGGCTTTCGGGATAGTCTATAAAGGTGTGATAGGGAAAAAGATGGTGGCAGTGAAGAAGTTGAATACAGTGGTTCATGATGGTGAAAAGGAATTCAAAACCGAGGTTGACAGCATTGCGAAAACTCATCATAAAAATTTAGTGCAACTTCTTGGGTATTGCGATGATGGTGATCAGCGGCTATTGATTTATGAGTACATGAGAAATGGCACTTTGGCGATGTTCCTTTTTGGGGACACAAGACCTACATGGAGACAGAGGAGTTATATTGCTGTTGGGATTGGTAAGGGACTTGTATACCTTCATGAAGAATGTAGCACCCAAATCATTCACTGTGACATAAAGCCTCAGAATATACTTCTTGATGACTACTTCAATGCTAAGATTTCTGACTTTGGATTGGCAAAACTTTTGATGATTAATCAAAGTCATACGAACACTGGAATAAGAGGAACAAAAGGATATGTTGCTCCTGAATGGTTTAGGAACATGCCTGTTACAGTAAAGGTTGATGTCTATAGCTTTGGTGTGTTGCTGCTAGAGATCGTTTCATGCCGAAAGAGCTTGGCTTTTGAGAGTGATAATGAAGGGATGGCGGTTTTAACTGATCTTGCATGGGATTGCTATCAAGAAGGTTGACTGGATACATTTATTGAGAACGATCTGGAGGCATTAGATGGCTACGAAAAACTTGCAACTTTTGTAATGGTTGGCCTGTGGTGTGTACAAGAGAACTCATCCTTGAGGCCAACCATGAGGAAGGTCATCCAGATGCTTGAAGGAGTAATTGACGTGGCCGAACCTCCATGTCCATGCTCTTTCTCTGTTACCAGTTATTGATCTCTAGTTACTCTGCTATATATGTAGGTTGATGTTGAGAAATATGTTTATTTCTTAATACGATTCAATCATAAACTTGGAATTTTATGAAGTAGACTACCTAATTTGGTGTGTTTCGTTGTAGGTTGAAGTAATCAAAAAATGTTGCTGTTGGAGTCATATCTAGTAAAGTTGAAGGATAGCTGTGAAGATTAAATAAAGTTCAAGGGCAAAAATGAATAGGTTGAAACTATGGATGATGCTGTTGCTGGCTGTACTATTGCAGTTACTGATTGTACTCTTTCCTAGATACAAATATACTAGTAATACAAATGTGTTGTATATATTAGTTTATGTCTTTGAGTCTCACATCGGGTACTTCATAGAATTGGTGAAATAAGTATTCTCTATATAAGTTGGTCCTATGTACTTAATAGGATTGGTGAAGTAAGTATGCACTCTATATAAGTTGGTCCTATGAGAGTAAAAAGCATATAAAATAACTTTCTTGTTTCTTTTTATATATTTTTTCCTTCTTAGTACACTAGGTTCTTTTTGTATGTTTTGAGTGTTGACGGAAGTGTAGGAAAATATAGTGAGATTTCTATATGTTAGTATTAGTTGTGTTTAATAAATGTCTAGTTTTGTTTTTAATAGTTGATTATGTCAAATATATGAATATGTTATTTAACCAAAGGGAATAATTTATTGGGATGATAAATAAAATAGTCGAAAAGATTTGGTTATATATCGGGTCGGGTTATCAATAATATCATATAAATCAATTATAATTTTAACTTTTAATACCAAATATCAAACATAAGTTAAAAAAAATAAAACACAATTTAAAAACTATCAATCTAAAATAAATATAATTCAAAAGTGATGGTCCATATAATTTGCCTATCATTATTTTTTTCAATATTTTTTTCATGAGCCCTGATTAAAATTATTGTATCCATATATGAATTACTTAGTTAAGGTGATTGAAATTAGATATATCAAATTGTTTTACGGAAAATCAGAATGGATTTATTTTGGGAAAATGAAAGGGAAAATGAAACTCACCATTCTTTTATATATATATATATATATATATATATATATATATATATATATATATATTAAAGATGACCATCTTTATGAATAGTGAACATTCTGATTTTTTTTTAAAAATGGTCCATAAGTTTTTATATTTTGAGTGGTTCAGATTTTTGGCACTAAAGTTTGTGGTATTGACAATTTGGTCTTTAAATTATTAAGCAGTAACTGAACATTCCACGTCTCCCCCACCGGTTCTGCCTTATCTTCCACTTTCACCGCCTTATCAATACAGGATCTCTCCCAAATCCGAAATCGCGACGGATCTTCGTTGAATGGTCGAAACGGCCTCAGGACGGAGGCGTATTACCGGTGGCGGGGGGGGGGAGGCGTTGCCGAGGTCAGCTTCTGCTCTCTCTCACCGGTCAGCTTCTGCTCGCGACGGATCTTCGTTGAATGGTCGAAACGGCCTCAGGACGGAGGCGTATTACCGGTGGCGGGGGGGGGGGAGGCGTTGCCGAGGTCAGCTTCTGCTCTCTCTCACCGGATCATGAAGCATCAGTTACTGCTTCCGGCGGTACAATAATACTTGCAATCGACTGAGAGAGGGGCGAAAAATGATGCACCGGTACCACCGGTCAGCTTGCTGATTGTCGACCGTCGCCGCTAAGGTTACGACTTTCAAAATCCATCGAATATCTTTAGTTATTTTTGTTTTTTTTTGAAAGATATTTTCTCTTCTTCTGTGACATAGGGTGATTAAGCAACAGCGTACACCGGCGACGCTGCTACTGGTGGCACAAATTATCAGGTTCTTTTTATCAAAGCCTGACGCCTGGCCCTAAAATTATGCAGAAGAACACTGTGATTCTGGAAATAAGTTAATTTCATAATTATGTTCTTCGATGCTGCAGCTAATACACTAATAGAAGAAGATGATTTCTTTTAAATTGCATCCACATCTGGTTTAATTCTAGAAATTTTAGGCACCAAAACCAATACGCCATTATCTAAAAAAACCCTATCACATTACTTCTAGCACCACCATAACTGACGATGGTTTATGACAGCTGAGTTGCAGAGCATCACCGGTGAACCACTACCGATTTTGGGTCGGTTCTTCTCCTCCGACTCCTCCGAAATTTCTGTGTACATGAGGAACGTTGGGTCCTACTTCAAACTCATCAGGTTAATGTTCAGTTCCATCTGGGCTTTCTTGAAATTGCAAAATTTGACTTTAAGTTCTTTCATTTTTGTGGGTTATGCAGCGTTTCGCGATGTGAAGTCTTGATTTCTCCCATCAGCTTTGTTTATGTGTTTTTTTTTTTTTTTTAATTATTGTATTTGGGTTTTTTAGGGTTTGTTGTTTCACTTCTTTGCTTTGTTTGTTTCTGCTGAGAGAAAGGTGGAATAAGATAGGGATAAACAACAGATGGCATTGAGATGGAGTATAAGACATGGTATGTTGCATCAAAGCCGGTCATGGACCGTTTTGTTTACCTCTTTGATTCTGTATCCTATCTCCATAATGTTCAGAGATGTCAAATTCTCCTCCTGTATAATCGATCTTCTTATTAGTAGGTTAGTATTTACTGTTTGTTGTTCAACACTTATTTCGCGCACGCTGCTTTAATGTTTCTTACATTTTTTTGGTTTAGGATTGATTTTCTTGGTGAGCCTGAATCGAATCAAGAAGAGGATGGTCAGGGTTAGTGTGTTGAATAATCCTCTAAAGGTTTTCTCTTATCACCTTTTATTTCAACAATTACAACATCTTCTTCACTCTCTATATCAATCTTGATGATTGTTTTATGAACCTCTATTTTTGTTAATGCAGATAATGCTGGTGTTATCGTCAATCCCAAGTGAGAAATTAGTAGGAGGAAATGATTTCTATAGCTGGTAATTAATCTAATTTGTTGTTGGTTGGGTTGTGCAGGAATTAAACCGAAAACTCAAATCCTATGAAAGGTGACTGTACCTGTATTAGCAGCTAAACAAACATTTCAGGTTCTGCAGTTTTAAAACTCAAAACTTGATGTTTTTTTTGTTCATTATTAATTGAAAGTAGATACTTAATTGCAACATTTGAATGTGGAATTCTTTGTGCTGATTTTAAAGAGTTGTTTCTTCTTGATGTCACTCTTCTTTCTCTTCATATTGAGACACTTGGTGGGATCTTCACTAAGATCATTGGTAGAAACACCACAATTCCAACAAAGAAAAGTCAGGTAAAATCATCATATCATTTATCTGAGATTGTGTTTTGTTGGTGGATTCCGATTCCGATGGAATCCTTTGAAATTGGAATTCAATATTCCATCACGGGCATGTTGTGTTAGATTCTTTTGGATTTGTCACCCCGTTCTTATAAATGTGTAGAAGGAATTTTAATTCCATTCATCGTTTATTATTAAAAGACAAAAACACCCTCCTTATATATTAAAAAATGATTTACAAGTAAAGGCATTCTCAATTATTAAAAAACTAGAAGTAGTAACTGTTCGAAAAAAAAAATAAACAGAATAGAGGTAGTACGCCATGTTCTGCAAAAATTGTGTCACTATAATATAGCATACATAATTTATAGTAATTAATATTATATTTAATTATATAAAAGAATGTATTTCTGGGTTTTGAAAACTAATATTATCCACTCTTATGTAAAAAAAATAATAATAAGGTTTTTTGCGTGTGACTATAATTCTAGCATGAAAAATGAAAATGTATACAAATAAAAAAAATAAAAAACTTATTTATGAAAATGGAAAAATATTTAAAAAAAAAATCATGCAGAGGATGTAAAAATTATGTTTTGAAAAAATTATAAAAAATTGGAAAACAATTGTTGAATATTTGTGATTTTTTTTTATAAAATTGGTTAAAATAAAAAGTTTGGCCAAGATTATACATATGGGAAAAATATTATGGTGAGGGATCTATGTCAACCGACGTGTTAACCTGATGACCAGACAAAAATAGAGGGATGAAGTGTCGAAGAGGATCCATAGTTTACTTTTAAAACCATTTTGAAATGCTCATATGGATTGTTTGCTTGTGGGATCACACACACATGCATACAGACTCGAAATTTATGCACCATTATTGACAAATTCAATTGTGTCTTCTTTTGATATTGATGAACATGTATACATATAGGTTGGATAAGTAAATTCTTTGGCATATGCGAAATCAGGGAATTTTTTTTTGCTGGAGTTGAATAACAAAAAATGACCATTTTACCATTTGTTTGAAATTACAGTGAAAAATAAATGACAATAGCTAAAAATAGCCCGTAATTGAACATTTATGGATAGATCATGTTGTTGAACCAAATGAACTGTGTGAGCAAACAATTAATGCCCATTTTACCCTTTTCTCTGGAATTAAACTTAAATACAACTGACAATAAAAACTGACCCATAAAGTGCATATATGACATCCGTCCCGAGCAAGTCTTGAATAAACGAACACAGTTACCTTTTGTATTTGAATAATAGTATATGCCCATTTTACCCTTTGTCTGGATTTATTGCAACAATAGCTAAACTTAACCAATGTTTCCATATTTATTTCAGCCTGCTTTGATTGATCTTGCTGCTCATGCTACTGATCACACAGAATCCAAACGACTCAAATTTCTTGCATCTCCAGCTGACAAGGTTTGGAAATTTCTTTCATAATCTCATTAAATCAAACTTTATATTAAAATTAATCTCATTCTTATTCCTTCAGGATGAATACTCTCAGTGGATTGTTTCAAGTCAAAGAAGTCTTCT